AAAAAAAAAAAAAAAAAAAAAAAAAAAAAAAAAAGATATATAAATTGTCAGTGAAGTGAAAAAGTAAAATAGGTTTATCCTTAAAAGCTAAGCTTTAAGTCCTCTTAGATAAAGCTAAGACCCCTACTTGACCTCTTATCTTCTCACAATCCTTCAACAGGACTTCATTGACTTAACTAGAGAAACCAGACCAAGGGCAAAGGATCGCAATGGACTCTGTGTGATTGACCTAACAGGATCTGAGGAAGAAAATAGACCTATTGCCACTCTTGACTTGACTCTAGAACCTGTTGCTCCTTCCCAGAAAGAGCCAGCCAGTCTTCAAGCATGTGCCAGCCTCTCCAGCAAAGAGGTGATGGAAGGGCGGGTAGACAGAAGCTCTCGGCCTGCAGCATGGAGAATCATTAACAGTGATCCTGTGGATTTGGACCTTTTGGAAGAAACTGCATTTGAAGGTCCCCAGCCCCCTATGTCCATCAGTGGGGACTCTGTTTATCCAGGAGAGCCGAATTGTAGCTCAACCATATTCAAAGATGACCTCGGCTTCTTGGCAAGCCTACAGCTATCTTCAGATATTCACTGCCTCCCCGCAACAAGCAATAATGGTAGCCGTAGCAATCAAAGGGCACCCTTGCCATGCCCACAGCAAGATGTGCCTTGCCCTCCACAAGCCTTGCCATGCCCACTGCGAGCCTCACCATGTCCACCACGAGCCTCCTCATGCCCACCGCGAGCCTTGTCATGCCCATCACAAACCATGCAGTGCCAACTACAAACTTTGCCTCACCCACCTCAAGAAGGGCCATGCCCTCCTCAAGATGTGCCATGCCCTCAGAATGTGCCATGTGCTCAGCAGAATATGCCAAGTCCACCTCAAGACTCATCATGGCAACTTCAACACTCACAAAGCCCACCTCAAGACTCACTGGGCCTACCTCAAGATGTACCAGGCCCACCTCAAAACATAACATATCCACAAGATGTGGCACACCTGCAAGACATGCCACAGTCACCAGGAGATATGCTACAATCATCAGGAGACATGCCACAATCATCAGGAGACGTGCCCCAGTCACCAAGAGATGTGCCACAGTCACCAGCAGATGTCCTACAGTCACCAGCAGATGTGTCACAGTCACCAGCCAATGTAGCACAGTCACCAAGAGACACGCCACCGTCACCAGGAAGTGTACCACATTCACCTGGAGAAGTCCCACACTTATCAGGAGATGTGCTACATTCACCTGGAGACATGTCATGCTTGCCAGAAGACATACCACACACACTTAGAGACTTGCCTCATTTACCAAAACTCAGGCCTGACTCTCCGCAAAATGATGTACAGAACCATGACACCCCTATGGATGTCTCAGCTCCATCCTCTCCAAGCTGCTCTCCCAGCCCACAGTCTGAAACTTCCGTAGAGAAAGTTCCTTGGCTCTCTGTCACAGAAACTCCAGCCAGAAAAGAGATATCACTGTCAGAGCCTGTCAACCCCGGATCTGCCCAGGTGCAAGCACAAACACCACAAGGTGGGTTGTACAACAGACCATGCCTGCATAGACTGAAGTACTTCTTACGACCTCCGGTGCATCACCTCTTCTTCCAGACACTAATACCAGATAAAGACACAAGAGAGGTGAGCTAACATGTCTTCCCCTGGGGATCAGGTGTCCTTTGTATAGGCCTAGCATGACATTAGTATGCTACAAGGAGTCCATGCATGAGAGGACAGGCCCAGCTGAGTTAAGACATTTTTATCTTTCTCCCACTGTGGAACCATTCAGTGTAGAATCAGATCTGGGTTCAAATTCAGCCCCACACTTAAAATCTGGCACTGAAGAAGTCACTTTACCTATCTATAAAATGGAGATAAGAACATACTTCACAGTATCATTAAAGGAGATAATATGTAAAGTGCCTGTTGGAGTGTCTGGCTCATCATAGGCCTTCATCAAATACTTCTCAATTCCTCTGCCTTTCCTTCCTCAATTCCTGATGCCCTCATTACAGCTTCCATATTACAGAGATAATAATACTCATGACACTTTGATACCTTCAGAATTGTTACTCTCTAACTTGGGGGGAGGAAATTCAATTTTAAGATTTTTTTTATTGAAGTTGATTTACAATATTGTTTTAGTTTCAGGTATACAGCAAAGTGATTCAGTTATATATTTGTTCAGATTATTTTCCATTACACATCATTACAAGATACTGAATATTGTTCCCTGTGCTAGACAATAGATCTTTGTTGCTGATCTATTTTATGTATAGCAGTTTGTGTCTGTTAATCCCATACTTCTAACTTGTCCTTCCCCACCTCCCTTTCCCCTCTGGTACCCATAAGTTTGTTTTCTATATCTGCAAGTCTGTTTCTGTTTTGTAGATAGAGTCATTGGTATTATTTTTTTGGATTCCACATATAAGTGATATTATATAATATCTGTCTTTCTCTGTCTGACTTACTTCACTTAGTATGATATTCTCTAGGTCCATCCATGTTGCTGCAAATGGCATTATTTCATTCTTTTTTATGGCCGAGTAATATTCCACTGTGTGTGTGTGTGTGTGTGTGTGTGTGTGTGTGTGTGTACCACATCTTCTTAAACCAATCATCTGTTGATGGGCGCTTGGGTTGTTTCCATGTCTTGGCTATTGTACATAGTGCTACTATGAGCATTGGAGTGCCTGTATCTTTTTAAATTAGAGTTTTCGTCTTTTTCCAGATATATGCCCAGGAGTGGGATTGCTGGACATATGGTAGCTCTGTTTTTAGTTTTTTGAGGAACCTCCATACTGTTTTCCATAGTGGCAGCACCAGTTTACATTCCTACCAACAGTGTAGGAGGGTTCCCTTTTCTCCACACCCTCTCCAGCTCAATTTTAAGACTTTAACGGGAATGCTACTTCCCGTTAGTCTTCATTGATCTGTAAGAACTAAACTAGATGTGTAAGAAAAAAAACTGTGGCTAAGTCCCATAACATGAAGCTTTTTTTCATTATACCTAACCACATTCCCAACATTAAGAAGACTGGCTTGAAGTTGTTCAAGAATTCAAAAGGTGCTTCTCCTGTTGGAGCAATCCGTAATCCAGCTTAGTGGGTGTCAGGCATTCACATTGATTTGCCCTTAGAGAGTGAATTTTTTTCTCTCGTTTTAATTGTTCTACCTTCTAGTAGGCTTTATGTCTCCTCCTTCTGAATGACTTTCCCCAACACTAGCTTGTTCTCTTTTTTCCTATGAGTTTGCCTCTGATTGGCGATACATCATTCCATTATTGAGCACCTGGAGGACTTGAGAAAGTTTTTTACCTAGCCAAGGCTGTAGTGCTTTGTAGGTGCTACACAACCAAAGAAGCCATCAGTAGATACAAGTCCACCTTATGTGTACACATAGCTCAGATTACAAGGTGGCAATTAGGCTACACAGAGTGGCTTTTTCTTCTTCATCTTTATTTCTTACCTTCTCAAAGAATCTCAGCCATCTAGAATACATCTGTAAATCTTTTCTGTCTCTTTTGATTACTTTTGGGCTTTTTATAAGTACTTCTTCACTAAGTCATTCTCCCCCCAGAACTTTTTTTTAGTGTGATGCACTTTATTTTCTATTCTATTCTGATTCATTGGGGGTTTTGGTCAGTACATTATTTTTTTTATTGAAGTATAGTTGATTTACAGTATTATATTAGTAATGGGCAAAGGATTTGAATAGACATTTCTCAAAAGATTTTCTGTATCGTTAGTCATTAGGGAACTGCAAATCAGAATCACAATGGGATACCACTTTGTATCGACTAGGATGGCTATAATAATACTTATTATAGCCATTTATAGCCAATAAATATATTTATTATATTAAATATATATTTAATAATATATAACTATATTATTAAAATATAGTTGATTTACAATATTATGTTTCAGGTATACAGCAAAGTGATTGTTATTTTTTTCAGGTTACATTCCATTATAGGTTTTTACAGGATATTGAATATAATTCCCTGTGCTATACAGTAAATTCTTCCAAGAACTTCTTAGCCAGTGTCCATGCTGCCGCTAACCAGCCATTAGCCTTAACTCCTCTGAGTTATCAGTGAGATCAGGGGTTACCCTCAGGTATCCTGAGACATAAGAAAGCTAACTGCCCTCTCCCAAGAAGGGCAATTCCAGCCATCACTCTTTTTCTGTTATACATAAACTATCAAACTTTGTTTGGCTTGTGTTTTAAAATTAATACTTATTCTCAGATTTTAAAAATAATGCTTGCTTAGGAAATAATTACCCATGATGCTATCAGTCAGCATTTATTAATGTTAATAATTGGGTGTATTTCCTTCCTGGTTGCCTTTTTATGTGTAGACACTTTACATTTTTTAATAATTGGGGATTTTAACAATAATATATTTATTATTGTTGATTTTGTTGTTTATAGAGAGTTTGAGTTTAGATGGTAGCTATGGAGTTATACCGCTGTATGAAACCAGCTTCTGCCATCTATTGCATGACAAATTCTCACTCTAAATCTCAGTTTCCTTATCTATAAAATAGGAATAATAATAACATGTATTTCTTACAGTTGTTGAGAGAATTAAGTGAGGATAAGTTGAATGTTAAAACTTATTATTATAATTATTGTTGTTATTATATCAGACTTTTTAATGTTTGTTTTTCTTCTGATGATGTGTCTATTACAGAAAAATTGAAAAATACAAAAGAACATATAGAGGAAAAATCATCCATCATTTCACCATCCAGATAATAGAAAACCACTTTTCATACATTCTCTTTCATTCTTTCTATACATACTGTTTGGGGGTTGGCGGGGGGGGGGGCGGTGAAGCAACTTAATATTTACTGTTGACTCAAAAAAAATCAACAAAATGGAATTCTTCTTCTAACAATAAAAGATATTTAAAGCATCTTTATTCATCTCTTTGTTTCAGTATCTGATATAGTATCATAGCTACCCCTAAATATCTCATCACCCTTATTCCAAAATCAACTTAGGCTAGCTCTTAAATCTTTTGTACTTTCCTTTCTAATGCTATATTTTAACACAGATGAAATCATGTTACATGTAGAACTTTGTATTCTTATTTGTTAACTTAATATAAGCATTTTCCCATGTCATTAGAAATTTTTTAGATAAGACTTTCCAGTCTCAATTTTTTAAATTATGAATATTTCAAATGCATGGAAAACTTCCCTGTCTTCAACTTGTTCCAGAACCTCTAGCTTTTATGTCTATAGAAACCCATCCTAATTTATTTCTTTTTATCTCTGCAGAACAAGGGTCAAAAATTAGAACCTATCCCTCATCGAAGACTAAGGATGGTAGCAAACACCATTGAAGAAAACTTTCCCCTGGGGACTGTGCAGTTTTTGATGGACTTTGTGTCACCCCAGCATTACCCACCCAGAGAAATTGTGGCTCACATCATCCAGAAAATCCTGCTCAGTGGCTCTGAGACTGTGGATGTTCTAAAGGAGGCCTACATGCTTCTCATGAAAATTCAACAGTATGAACCTTAGCTTTTGGCAAATCTTCTGGGGAACCTGGACTCAGGGCACAACTTTCTCTTGCCTAAGATTTATTCATCTAACCATTAGAGAGGGTGACTTAGTATATTAGTATTATTTGTATTGCAAGTGACAGGAAACTCAGTCCAAACTGGCTTTAACACCTGGTAAAAGAGAATTTAATGACTCGTGTTACTAGAAACCTAGGAATAAGATGTGACTTAATTCAGTTCAAAAATGGTTACCAGGATCCATTTTTCAGCTCTACGTTGCTGTTTCTAGGCTTCACATGGTAGCCTTCTCAGCCTCTAGCTTTTACAACATTCTTAGTACAAGAGAGGGTCCACTTCCTTTATAATCAAACAGAGTTCTGAAATTGAGTCTTATAGGTTTTAATTGGCATAACATAAGACCTGAGTCCATCTTTGAGCCAATCACTGTGAACTGAGGAATAGAATATCAAGATTGACATGCTTCGCAGACTTCATGCCAGGGTCCTAGTGGGTAAAGCCAGTGGGCTAAGAATAATAAAGAGTTGATTTCTTCAAGGCAAAATTGGGGTACTAATGCTTCCCAAAAGACAGGTGGATACTGGGTAGCCAAAGAAAATGAACCTCCGCCACCCTCAGATGACATGGTATTGTATCAAAGGGTGGGCAAGAGCACTGAGGACAAGAGGAGGCTTCTTGCTTCTGTCATCTTCGAGATCCCATCCCTTCTTCCACTAAACTCTCCAGAATTCTAATTGATGTCACTTTACTTTCAGGCTACATCCAGCTAATGCCAAGACAGTGGAGTGGGACTGGAAGCTGCTCACTTATGTCATGGAGGAAGAGGTAACATAGCAATTGCAAGCATAAATCTTTTGCAGAGGAGGTTTTTTGTTTGTTTGTTTTTGCGGTATGCGGGCCTCTCACTGTTGTGGCCTCTCCCGTTGCGGAGCACAGGCTCCGGATGCGCAGGCTCAGTGGCCATGGCTCACGGGCCCAGCCGCTCCACGGCATGTGGAATCTTCCCAGACTGGGGCACGAACCCGTGTCCCCTGCATCGGCAGGCAGACTTTCAACCACTGCGCCACCAGGGAAGTCCCGCAGAGGAAGCTTTAACTAGAAATGAAAGTGACTGTAAATCTGGTAGTAACGTCTTTGCCATTATTCCTTTCTTTTACTCCCCCCAATCCCGACCAAAACATTCCTATTGAAATGGTATGTGCTGTCTTCCAATTCAAGATTGAATACATTCACTTATCCTTCTCCTTTTTCAGATTCCATTTAAAATAACAGTAAATGAATAGAGAAAGGTATAAACCTATGGCACTGAAAATAAGGGGAAAGACAATAGATTTGAATGAAGATTGGAAGAGCTAAAGGGAATATAAGAGTGATGATTGATGAAGCTAGGCTGAGAAAGCTACAGGCTAGAATACATGAGGAAGGGCTGTAGCCAAAGATGGAGGAAATCTGCCCTTTAGAGCAGAGAATTTTTGGACTCAGAAACACAATATATAAGAAGGTTGGAATAGGATATGAGCTGTAAGTCTGTTGAAAGCTTGTAGATGGAACTGATAATCTCTATTTTTGAGTACAGAAAGCTCAGTTGCCAGGTTACCTACCTTTCAGACAAAAAAATCAGACAAAAAATCTAAAAGAAATCGAATGAACCATCTGTCATAAATGAAGGCAGCTAGTGTAGAGTTGGTGCTCCAGAAAAAATGTCTGCATTCTGACCTTTAGGGATCCCTAAACTTAATTGCCAGCTTTCTGTCTGCTAACCCAAAAGCACTTGGATGGAACAAATTACTGTCAACTTAGAACTCTATACTCAGCCAAACTATTAGTCAACTGTGAGGGTAGAATAAAGACATTTCCAGAAATGTACAAACTTGAAAAAATATCCACACACCCCATTTCATAGGTTACTTGAAGATATGCATACAAAGAATAGGGGAATAATCAGAAAAGGGGGAGACACAGGATCCAGTATCACTAGATCTAATCCAGAAGAGTAAGGAAGAGAAGTACTGAGATTACTGAAAATAGTAGACCTAGAGGGCAATCACTCCAGATTGGAGCAAAAAAATACAGGGCTTTAAGGAAGCATGATCTGGGAAACACCACCAAGATGGTAGACAAGGAAGCTCCATGCCCTTGTTCCCCAATGGAGATACCAAGTTAACAACAATATATGGACCAGAATACCTTTGTGAAAACTCTAGGGACCAGTTGAGAAGTTGTAGTACTCAGGCCAATGCATAACCAAGAAGGTACTCCATTGAAAGGAGTAGGAAAGTCTGTGGTGTTTTGTGTGTCCATGCGCCTCCCTCTACCTAGCATAGCACAGTGCAACTAGGAGGAAATCTCCCATACCCTGGCTCCTCCCTTGGGATGGAAACAGAAGAGTGGACGTTGAGTCCAGTGTTCTGGCTTGTTAGGAGGATAGTTTCTGTCTTACCTGACTCAGAGCACTGTTGAGAACAGTGGCTTAGTTTTCTGGCTGAAAAGAAATGTGAGCACTGCAGCATTTTAGAGCTGCAGAGAGTATGCAGTTCCACAAACAGGTACTGGGGGAGCAAGAGACTGTGGGCTTTCAAGAAGTAGGGGCAAGCCACTTGGGAAATTAAGGCAGATAAAAGCACACACACAAGCTCAGAGAAAACACATCTCCAGTAAAGGTCTGAGAGGTCTCAGGACCTTTAGCCAAGCTGATTGGTGAAGGTCTTGCCATGCATGAACTCAATGGATAAAGACTGGGAAAGGTGTTTTTTTCAAATGTTTAAATCTCAAAAGAAGATTACAAGGCATACAAAGAGGCAGGGAAATGCGGCCCAATCAAAAGAATGAAATAAAGCTCCAGAAACTGACCCTAAAGAAACACAAATCTCTCAACATACTGACGAAAAAAATTTTTAAACTATCTTAAAGATGCTCAAGGAGCTAAAAGAGAACACAGACAACAAAATGAAGCAAGAAAATAATGCATGAACAAAATGAGAATATTAAATTTTAAAGAACTGTAGAAAATAATCAAACATTCTGGAGCTGAAAAATACAGTTACTGAATTGAAAACTTCACTAGATGAGTTCAACAACAGTCTTGGTCAGGCAGGAGAAAAAAAATCAGTGAACATGAAGAAAGGTCATTTGAAATCACTGAGACAGAGGAGCAAAAAGAAAACAGAATAAAGAAAATTGATGAACACCTAAGGGACTATGGGACACCATTAAATGGACCATATACACATTAGGGAAGTCCCAGAAATGGAAGAGAGAAAGGGGCAAAGAGCTTATTTGAAGAAATAATAACCAAAAACTTTCCAAGTCTGAGGAAAGAAATGGGCATAGAAATTCAAGAAAGCTCCAGTGAGAATAAACCAGAGAGACCCCACACCAAGACACATTATAATCAAACTGTCAAAAGTCAAAGACTTTTTCTTTGAAAGACTTTTTCTTGAAAGCAGCAAGAAAATGAATTATCACATACAAGTGAGTTTGTATAAGACTCTCAGCAGATTCTCAGCGAGACCTTGCAGGTCAGAAGGCAATGGGATGATGTATTCAAAGTTCTAAAAGAAAAGAACTGTCAACCAAGAATACTATATCTGGCAAAACTTTCCTTTAAAAATGAGGGTGAGCAGCAGGAGAGAAGTGACACATCAATACAAGATCCTCAATAAGATTATCAGAGATTTCTCGTTAGAAACTGGAGGCCAGAAGTTAGTGGGGCGATATATTCAAAGTGCTAAAGAATAAAAGTCAACCAAGATCCCTGTATCCAGCAAAACTGTCCTTCAAAAAGGAGGGAGAAACTACTGGGCATATACCCTGAAAAAAACCGTAATTCAAAAAGAGTCATGTACCACAATGTTAATTGCAGGTCTATTTACAGTAGCCAGGACATGGAAGCAACCTAAGTGTCCATCGACAGATGAATGGTTAAAAAAGATGTGGCACATATATACAATGGAATATTACCCATAGAAAGAAACGAAATTGAGTTATTTGTAGTTAGGTGGATGGACCTAGAGACTGTCATATAGAGTGAAGTAAGTCAGAAAGAGAAAAACAAATATCATATGCTAACACATATATATGGAATCTAAAAAAAAAAAAATGGTTCTGAAGAACCTAGGGGCAGGACAGGAATAAAGACGCAGATGTAGAGAATGGACTTGAGGACATGGGGAGGGAGAAGGGTAAGCTGGGACGAAGTGAGAGAGTGGCATGGACATATATACACTACCAAATGTAAAATAGCTAGCTAGTGGGAAGCAACTGCATAGCACAGGGAGATCAGCTCAGTGCTTTATGTCCACCTAGAGGGGTGGGATAGGGAGGGTGGGAGGGAGACACAAAAGGGAGGGGATACGAGGATATAAGTATATGTATAGCTGATTCACTTTGTTATACAGCAGAAACTAACACACCATTGTAAAGCAATTATACTCCAATAAAGTTGTTAAAAAAAAAAAAGGGAGAAATAAAGACATTCCCAGATAAACAAAAGCTGAGGGAGTTCATTTACTACTATCCCTGCTCATCAAGAAATGCTAAAGGGAGTCCTGCAGGGTAAAATGAAAACTAAACAGTAACTTGAAGCCGTATGAAGAAATAAATATAAATACATGGGCAGTTATAAAAGCTATTATGGTAACAATGGTTTGTAACTCCACATTGGTTTTCTATAATGTATTAAGTAAATAATACATTTTTAAAGTATTAATCTAAAAGAATTATTAGTTTATTTTGGGGCACACAATATATGAAGATACAGTATTGTGACTTCAACAACTAAAAGGGGTGGGAACAGAGCTGTAAAGGAGCAGAGTTTTTGTGTGTTATTGAAGTTAAGCTGGTATAAATTCAAAGTATTATAATTTTAGAATGTTAAATGTAATCCCCATGGTAACCACAAAGACAATAGCTATAGAATGTACACGAAAGGAATGTAAACATTTCACTACGAAAAAATCAAAGACAATAATGCAGGAAATGAGGGACAAAGAAACTATAAGGCATTTAGAAAACAAATAGCACAAGGCCTGAAGTCAGTCCTTCCTTGTCAGTAAAGGGAAACCAACGAATTGTGCATGCCTGCCTGCTGTGTGACAGACACTTAAGCTGGCTTTGGTAAGGTTAAGAGTTATCACCACATAAATCACAAGGACACTGAGACTCAGAGGGGTAAGTTAAATACGGGATGGAGCTGAGTTTCAAACAAACAAATAAATAAGGTCTGTGCACCACCAAAGCCCATGCTCTTTTTTTTTTTTTTTTTTTTTCCTTGCATTATGCGGGCCTCTCACTGTTGTGGCCTCTCCCATTTGCGGAGCACAGGCTCCGGACGCGCAGGCTCAGTGGCCATGGCTCACGGGCCCAGCCGCTCCGCGGCATGTGGGATCTTCCCGAAACGGGGTACGAACCCGCGTCTCCTGCATCGGCAGGCGGACTCTCAAGCACTGCGCCACCAGGGAAGCCCAAGCCCATGCTCTTTACCTGCATCAGTTAGGCTTCAACAGTTAGGATCATTTCACCTGTAACAGAAAACCCAGCTCAGACTTGCTTTCACAGTAAGGATATACATCAGCTCATCTTACTAGAAGTATAGCAGTGAGATAGACATCATGGTTGCTTGATCTAGTAGCTTGGCAGAGTCATTTTTCTGTCTCTGTTCGGATATCCACAGTTTAGGGTTTATCCTGAGACTGATAGTTAGGTTCAGTGAAAGAAAGAGACTGACTTTTCAAGCTCTAGGATTGCCCTATTTGCCCTCTTTTATAATGACCTAGACTGCTTGCTGTCTCCCAGAAACCTCTCTTTTAGATACACACTCGTTGACTCATGGGCCTTCCCTTGACTTAGTATTTATGAGAGCCCAGTGCTCAGTGTCATCCAGGAGATTGAGAGGAAATACTTACTCCTCATTTTTTCTCTCCCAGGGACAAAATCTGCCTGGGCGAGTCCTTTTCCTACGTTATGTAGTACAAACCCTGGAAGATGATTTCCAACAGATCCTGAGGAAGCAGCGACAGCACCTGCAGCAATCTATTGCAAGCACTGTGCTATCCTGTGACAAGCAACCCCACAATGTCAGGTAACCAGCCATCTGAGCCCTGGGATGACAAGAGGGAGGGGCTGTAAGTGGGCAGCTACTCAAGTCCGGAGAACATCAGGTGGAGGAGATTTTCTAGTAGCTAGATAGTATAACAGGGATAGTTATTAAAACTATAAACAGTCCTAGAAGAAAACCTCTCTGTACCAACTGTGTGTCAGATGCCATAACTTGTGTGGTTTTTTTCCGAGGACCATCAGACTTCCTTTAGTCTATTTCAGTACTGTTCAGACGGCCTTGTGAGATCCAGGGGGAAAACTTGACTTGTGTAAAACTTTTCACAGCTTTTATAAACCTAAATTTATTTCCATCCCCCTGAGTAACTCAAGATAAATCTCATTTGTCACTTTCTGAAAAGTCTATTATTATAATAGGTCACGTGGCTGACAATAAGGTACAGTAAGGTAGCAAGCACGTGTTCTTTTTTTGTAGGATCAGGTCCAAAGCTTCTGGAAGCTTCAGAGTGGGGAGCTACCATATCTTTATACCAATGGGGGGAAATGTGGTTTGTAGGGTAGGGATCTCAGGCTAGAATTTTCATCCTGGAACTACAAGCTTTGCTTCTTTTGGAAACGGTTCTCACCAGCATTCCTTTTTTCAGAGCATCATTGAGATTTTTTTTCACTCACATTTACATTCTCATATGTTCTGGCATATTTGTTAAGAATAGTTTTCACAGGCCAGTGTGGGATATTGACTATTATAACTCCTTTAATTAGAAAAGGGGGACGTTTCATTATGTTCTAAGTAACAGTCAGCTTTTTCTCCCTTAGTTTGCATGCTTATATCCATTTCCCTAGATGTGCCATTTTATGTAAAGTTTAAATGTTAATATTATAGGGGGTAGAAAATCAGTAAGTAGAGAAACTACAGAGAGCACAGGATAGCATAGTTGGGTTTAAAATTGGAAAATAACAATTTAAATAGTGAGAGCAACTCTCCTGACCATTCTGCTTTGTGAGCTTAGGCATTGGATTGGGAGATGGGAGACATGAACCCAACTCAATCCAGTGACAAGTCACTCACTTTCATTGTGTGAGCCTCTCACTATACCCAACACTATACTCTTGGGTTTAAAGATAGGCATTGGTAACCTCTAAATGCAAGCCACATACTCTATTTTGTGCTTTATCAATGAAAAAAATCAGTTCCAGCTGGAGGGGAAACCAGCTGTATTTGATTCAATAAGAGATGGCTATTAGATTGAGGTTGTGGTTACACGTATGTGTGCATGTATTTATCAAAACTCATCAAACAGTATATAACTGTGCTTTGACCTCTAACGGATGGGACAGTTGTCAGAGCTTTCTGAGAGGCTGTTCCCGGGTTATAATCCTCAGCTTATAGCTCAAATAAAAATTTCCATTTCCTTCTTAAAAAAAATTCATCAAACAAAAACCAGTGTGCAATTTATTTTATACGTTAGACCTCAAAGATAAGTTTTTAAAAAGAAAGTGATGGTAAGTCAGTCTCCATATGACCCCTTAAGGGATTTTCTTTTCTTTTTTTAACTGTGCATACAAAGAATAATCTAGTTCTACATGATTTAAGAAATACACTAGTCCCCAGATCCCCTCACCCACATTTTCCTTTCCCAAGGGGTAACTACTTTCAACTCTTTTATTTAAGTGATTCTTTGGATTTTTACCTCTTTATGGCTAAATAAACTGCTTGTGTTGCTAATTGTTGATTTTTCATTGTTGGCTATTATCTATTAACTCCCCACATGAAAGATGAGGAGTTAGCTCTTTTTCCTCTCTACCTCCTCTCTCTCTCTCTCTCTCTCTCACACACACACACACACACACACACAAACACACACACACACTTCCCAGCCCCCATGCCATTAATAGAGTTATATCATAATTTTGTTTAGATCAGTATCCAATGTTTCCATCACTATAATTAGGTGTGCTAGTCAGAGTTGAGCCAAGTACTAAACTGTGATTACTTTTTCTTTCACTCATACCTTTTTTGTTTTCCTTAGAGTTAATAACTGCCTCATTTTTAGTTTCCCCGTATTGTTTGTGCATATCAGAAGTCAACCCTAGATTCTCTGCCATTTGGTTTAAATATCCCATCAAGATGTTTATTCACACTGGGTTAGTCTTATGAAGTTCTTCTTCTTGAAGATCTGTGGTGGAACGTTTTGACCTCCTTTAATCTGGATTGGTTGTCCTCTTTTCCAGTCTTTATCATAAATGTGAAAATTCCCTTCACCTGTTTCCAGTGTTGGATCTCTGTTTCATATCTTCTCTTTCTTGGTTTACGCCCATGTTTTTGTTAGATCAGTCTCCAGTAGGTTCTTAGAAAGGTATGTGGGAAGTAAAATTTTTGAGATCTTGTATGTCTGAAAATATCTTTATCTTCCCACACGTTGATTAATAAGTGAGTATAGATATTTAGGTTAGAAATATCTTTTCTACAGAATATTAAAGGAAATCTTCCATTGTCTTCTAGCTTCCAGAATGGCTGTGAAGAAGCCATAAGCTACTTTGATTACTGATTCTTTGTGTATGCCTTGATTTTTTTCTCTGGCTGTTTATAGAATCCTCTTTTTGCCCAATATACTTGTTTTAGATCTATGTTCATCTAGTATGCTGGGCATTCAATGGGCCATTTCATATCCTTCATTCTTGGAAAATAGAATTTTCATTCCTGTTATGTTTTTAACTTCCAAGAGCTCTTTTTCTTTAAATGTTCCTTTTTAAAAATAATAAATAGTATTCTGTTCTTGTCTTTTTCTTTCATGGATCTGTATCTTTTCATATCTTTGATTATACTAATGATAGCTTTTGTTTTTGTTAATTCCCTGTATAATGTCTGTTTTCTCCAAGTTGCTTTTTTGAGGAGAAAGGAGTGTTGGTTTGGCTTTTTGGTGTTTATCTCTCATGTTAGAATATGTCCATAGATGTCTGGTAAACTTTTGTAATCTATCCGTGTTTAAGGGTGACTCAAAAGCTCTTGGAAGCTCTGAGTACAGGTGAGGACTTGTCATTTCTGAGTTTCCCTATAGGTGGAAGTGGCTGTCCATTTCTTAGAAAATACCTCGTCAATGTGTTTAGGTCTTTCCTCTTGGGCTGGATGAGTTTTCCAGAAAAGACTTCACATTTCCTACATGAAGGATAAAGACCAAGATGCCAGGTTTTGGGAAGACAGTTCTGGGAAGGTGGCAAGGATCTCTGCACTAAGCATGCATAGGTTCACTTAGAGCCCCTGTTTTTCTTACGATGCCTTTGCCTCCCAGCTGTGCCTGGTATCCCAGTCCAGAGACCCTCTGTTTTACCTCTCCACAAAGTTAACCTGTAGTCTTCAGCATTGGGGGAGAAGATCTAAAAGTTTCTTAAACAAATTACAAGCCATCGTATTTATTTTAATTTAACCGCTTTTACCCTAACTTCATGGAAACCTCATACTGCCATTTGCAGCACTTATTGAAGATTTTTTTTTTCCATTTTTTCGTGAGTAGGATTAAATAGGATTGCTCTTCTCTACTGCTGGCTTAGGATTCAGCTTTCTCTATTCTGCCAAGTCAGTTAAAATTTACCCCATTGCCAAAGTCATAGACTTAGATTAAACATCATCTAAACATGACATTTGCCTTATTTACTTAGTTAATTGGTTACTTTGAATTTTGTAATCAGCATCTCTTACCCAGCCCCTTAAATCAAAGGCTAGGACCTTGACAATTACCTACATCCATCCCCCATCACCCACTTTTTGCACCTTCTTGCACCCAAAGTAATTGGCATCCTGAATGTTCATCATGTTCCTTTCCTTTTTATATAGTTTTATTGCATCTATATGTGTTCCTGTAAAGTATATATTTTTATTTTAGTTCCTTTTAGCTGTATATAAAAGAGTATCATGTTGTATGTAATCAATTGGTACTTTTATATTTCACTTACTATTATAGAGTACTAAGATTTGTCCATACCTATCCACTGTAGCATATTCATTTCCACTACTGTAGAATATTGTTTTGTGAATATACTTCATTTTCCTTCCAGCTTCCAGATTTTTTACTGTTATTATCTGCCCTCCTTTTCTTCCCTTCTTTGTGGATTTTTTTTTTTTTTTTTTTTTTTTTTTTTTTTTCCATTTGAGGGTCCTTTCCTTGTTGTGAC